TTGGCTCTGTCTGGCATGGCAACAAACACTCACCAGCTTGTGAGTTTGAGAAGGATCTTCAATAGTAGCAGTCAGTCGACTGAACTGCTCCATGGAACGGCGTTTTTTCTGTCAATAAACAATTTTCTAAAGTAACCAAAATTATAACCGAAGAAATATATAGAAAATCACATTCTATGCAAACATTCACACATCTGGTTTCCATGCATGTTAAATTATCATAATTACCTCTTTTTAAAAGACACTATTGCTGGGATCAGTACTTTAAACCCAGCACACCATGCAGGAAATGCAGTATATGGGCACATATGATGGCCATAAACAAAGCTGAACTAAAACTCAATATCTACATAAATAACGTGAAATATTTTACGAGGCGACAATGCTCGTCGTAAGAGGCGAATAACAGGATCGGGTGGTCAGGCTCGCTGACTTGGGAGATGCATGTCATTGTGTCCCAATTGTGTAAATCGATGCTCATGATGTCAATCACTGGATTCCAGACTCGATTAGTTACAGAACGCTGTCATATAGCTGGAATATTGCTGAGTGCAGCATCAAACAACCAAAATTTTTAACTGCACATTTAATGTGATCTAATAATAATTTAGGGATATGATCTAATACTGGTCAATGGACGAATAGTAGGCCAGAACTCTTTCCAGCATGGCCGTCATGTTCGTCATGTTTAACACAGAATAGGACAGTAACGCTGGGAACTGACTCACAAAAGATACTAACTTCTCGCATGACGTCAAAAGCAAAGAGTAGGTAAACATGGTATCATTAAATAAAATGTAAGTAAACATACATATGTTATAAAGTTTACAATGATTTTTAGGAACGGTATAGTCAAAGAATCTAAAAGAAATATGGTTTAATATAGGTCCCCAGCAACCTATACTTGTTGCAAGATTCAACTTAATGGATTGGGTGGTCAGGTTGTGTGACTTGGTTGATTGTGTGTCATTTTACCTAAACAGTGTGGAATGTTATTCGTAATATCAATCACTGGATTTGTCTAGTCCAGACTTGACTATTTACAAGCAAATGTCAAACAGTTGGAATACTGCTGACTTAGGTGATAAACAACAAACAAACTTAGTAAACAGCTGTGAACCTACCTTCAGGAATTGGAGATCTGATTTTCTCAGCTCATACTTCCTTGGTGTTGGTATTGTGGTCTGCAGGGAAAACATCAGTTAACATACATTTGTCATAGTTGTCAAAGATCATTTACTTAAAATGTGTGTCATTACATACACGCAATATGATATTAATATTACAATACAATGGTGGTGAATGGGTCTAGGGTGTTTATCATATAAACATTGAGATTTATCATCCAAAACTGGCTCCCACAGGAGATATTGTTTGGATGAGATCAAGTGATATCTACACTGTAGATATCGCTGCAATGAAATTACATCACAATGCTTTGCAGACCATAGTGACGTCACAATGAAATGACATCACTAATGGCTCTGCTACTGAAGCTGTTAGCAGTACTTTTTACACTGAAGACACTGCTAATTACTGTCTACAAATTGAAAAAGTTGGAAGAATGATGTTGGATGATAAATAAAATCTCACCCGAGTGTCTTTTGATATCAAATATATCAACACTCGTTGATAAAAGTGGCAAAAATCCTCGGCAAGCCTCAGAATTTTTCCACTTTTATCAACTCGTGTTGATATATTTGATATCAAAAGACACTCGGGTGAGATTCTCTATATAATACACTGGATAACTGAGCATGACTTCCAGCAAGTATACAATACCTGTGAGGCACCTTTTCCTTTAAGGTCCTTCAACAAAACGTTCAGTCCAACACACTCATATCCAACTGTAAAGAACAAAACAATGAGTAAAATATCAGTCATAGATCAGAAGAGTTAACAAGAACTGGAATTTACCATAGCATTTGCTTGATTCCAGGCCGGAGGTAAATTATGAAATTAGTAATTCCCAAATCAGGTTCTTATTTTCATGCCTGATGTTCTAATTTTGCAATGGTGACTTTCATTTCACTGAAGAGGATTAATAAAGAGAAAACAGTTTTAATACTATGAGTTACGTTTTTCACCAGCATTTGAACTGTCTTGAACACCATAGGAGTAGTTGGGTGAAGTGGTTTTAACGCCGCTTTGAACAGTATTCTGGTTATATCACTGCATCTCAGCCTAATGTGGGAAGAAAGCTTCAGGTGATGAGGATCTCTGACGTTTACCATTTTGGTGAAACCCACGAGCGGGTTTGGTGTTGACAAATTTAGAAACAATTGGGGTGAACCGGGATTTGAAACCTCAATCGAAGGGAAACAACTCTGCACAGTGAATTGCAGCACCTTTGATGACTGGGCCACCCGCTCCCCCTTAAAACACCTGACCAAAGGTCAATGGGAGTACTTTAATGTTCAATTCACAAACTCCCATAACATATTCATTATTATTCATGGCGATGACAGAGAGCTTGATTCTTTAATGAGTAATTGTAATTAATTGTACTACTTGAAATAAGAATAACTTAACACAAATGTCACTCTTTCATAAAATGTCCCTTCTAGACAATTAATGAATTGGAAATCATGAAATTAATGAGCCCAAATGTGTCATGAACAAATTAATTGGAGAAGCCCTTCTGCAGTGAACCTGACATGAGAATGAACAAGATCGATATGTGTCACTGTATTTTTGCAACAAATGCATTTTTAACATCAATTTCATACACACAAACTTCAAGATATAGTTTTCTTCAAAGGCCTAATGAGCCATAACTTTATAATGTATTGAATACTTACACCAACACTATGTTTGACTTTAAAAAACATCAGAAAAAGACATTTTGTATGAGAAGAATGCCAAAGCCTTAAGTAAATAAGTTTAGGAGTTGCAGTTGAAGCAAACTTTTCCTGCTACATGGTCCTTCTTGAGTCACAAAATATTATAATTACATGTACTTAAATGGTATCATTTGTTAATGACCTGAGCATACTGAATTGAAAAAAACAAATTTTGTTGTTGATTGTGTTGGTAGTGAAAGTGGTAAACCAAACCCTGGAACACCTGACATTGTCAGATACTGTATTCTCAAATTGCTTGTCTATTTCATGATTGACTTAAATGCAAGTATTTTGAGGGGGTCAACGGTAAGTAGATATTTAGTGAGGTGAGATGAAATGCGGTTTAACGTCGCGTCCAAGATTATTGCCCTTATATAGCGACGTGCAAGTACATGTGTGTGTTTGTGTGGCCGCTTGTACTAGTCCGGACTGATGCCGATTTATAGTGCTAGCTCACTGAGATACCATGCCGCAGTTTAACATGAATACCCCACTCACAGTATACTGACTCCGGGCTGACCAGTCCTTGTTTTAGCCCCTTGATGCCGAGCGCCAGACAGGGTAACAAAAAGTACCATCTTTAAACGTCTTTTGGTATGATGCGTCCGGGGAACCCTGGACCTTCCGCTCTCTGGGCGGACGCTCTACCACTACACCACGGAGGCGGTCGTAGATATTAAGTAGTATATATTTGTAGATATCTAAATATATACTGTATAATTAGAGAATAACCTACGTGCAAAAGTAATTATGGAATATCTGTACCAAGTGAATAAAGTTACTAATGTCAATTAAATATAAGGTCAGTGGGGTATTCTTGATCATTTTCCTCATACTGTATCTCATTCTGGATCTAATAACCTATATGGCAATGTTCTTCACCAGTCAGTGTTGGTGACTTTTTCATGCAATACCATTTAGTCTTATTCCGGCCGTCACGCTGGACATGGTATTTTTATGGGTGCAGCCTAAAACGGCACCACAGCAAAACCTCACCAATTTCTCAGGCAAAAACGGTACCTGATTTGGTGAAAACTGCTACCAATTGTCGGGCGAAAATGGCACCTCTATTTTTAATAACGATAAGAACAATTTATGTAGTAGTATATTTATGCTTTATTTACATGCTTTATGATGTTATGTTGTAGTATATATGTTTTTCTTGGGCGGGGACATGGACTGTTATCTGCAGAACCATTCTTGTAATGTTGGCTGCCAGCAGAAAGGTAAGATATATATGAAATATCTATAAAATTACTATTTGTTTTCTACTTACTAAAATAGAAATTAAAAAAATATTATACCTGTTGTCCAATTTCTTGACATTTCCCCCAGACTCAGTTTCAGCTTAACGTTGAGTTAATTTCCTTTACTTTATTTCAAAGCATGTTATTTTTTCACAATAAGTTTAGTTGCACCTCCCTTTCAGAGTCAGCAAGTAAATTAGAGTAGAGGCTAGTTGCTAATGTAAGCTTGTTTTAACATTTCACAATTATTTGTGTTCGCATGTGAGTTTTATTTCATGTACTTCAGTACCAAGGTAAAAAAAAATAAGGTGCCGTTTTTGCTTTAGCCGAGGTGCCGTGTTCGCAATAACCCATTTAGATTATGGACAATATTTTTGGTTATTTCACTACTTGAGCGCCAGGAACATGTTATTTTATCTTACAGTCTTTTAAAGGTGGTGTTTACAACTACAATCACCAGATATAATATGCTACTCCCCAAATAATTGCACGGATCATCTCGTAGACGGATGGTGCTGATGATACTGAGGAAAGAAATGTAAAAAACCTGATGATGTCCCACGAGAAATAACTCTCCATTAACACACAATGACTAATTATTTCATATCTACAACATCAGAATATGGATAGCGACGAAAAAGATGATGATTGGTACGTTTTATTGCCATTGTCAGGGCATCCTTGGTGGTTTCATCTTCTGCAGTAAGGCAAAGATCTGAAAATGCCGCCATGTTTGTTTGAAAACCGGAAGCATGAACACATGTGGTGGCTCCTTTCCTAATGACTGAAAATTGTTTAACCTTAAATTTTCAAATTCACATTTCTTTGCTATTCAGAAATGACAAGATCCTGGGGAAAATTGATAGATATTTCCTAAAAACACATCTCGCGTGAACGAGAAAGGTGACGTCATAGATCCTGTCCCTAATATGGGAACAATCTACAAGGGTGGATGCTGAATTTCGCCCGATTTTCTAAGCATATACTCTCTTTCTTCGTATAGTGAACATGTCATCTATGGAAACAACAATGGAAACATGTAGTTCTATAGATGATAGGCCCGATGAGAAAAGGGTAAGGCCGATAAAACGGTAACAAAGAGTCACTAATCGGTTATTTCTGGACGCCATTTTTAGAATGTTCTGAGATGTCTTGGCTTGTCAAATGGAATCGACCTGTTTTGTCTGCCTATATATTATTATGGTCTTCTTATTTTTATCTGTTTTGTGGGTGTTGATTATTAAGACATCTAAATGTTAAGAATATTTTATGAAATATGAGCAACGCCCCAAAATCGGTCTGTGTAAATATTTGAGGAAGTGAAACTTGGATCTTTGACAGGTGAGCATCCACATTGTCAAAACTGGCTGAACGAACGTAGTTGTAAGAAACCTGTTATTCCAATGATGTCAATATCTTGAACAAATATTAACTTCTATATTCATATGAGAAAAGTTTGATTATTTGGTTTTGTGAGCCACTGGTAAGCATGGTAAGTTGAATATTCATGAAAATTGTGTGTAACCTCTGATGGTGACCAAAATGACATGTTTGTCACTGTTAGTACAATATTAACTTATAATGCCGGATGCAAGTTTAGTGCAGGAAAAATAACCCACTGTTCCATCATGTCTACTCTGGATTTGTTGTCCGATTCAGTCACTTGCAGACCACCGTTGATAATACTGTATTACTGCTAACTTCAATGTTAGACACGACCACTTGTCCAAGATTACCTAAAATCGATCTAGACTAGCAGTTTTTTCTTAAGGTTTTGTTATTTTATATAAACAACTTGTCCAAAATGTGCTGCGGACTGGTATATGTTCAAAGGTGTCTACCCCTTTTAACAACATTCACTCATTCTAATCTTCATGATCATCAAACAGGGATTCAGATCACCCCTGTCATCGGCCATAGTTCGACTTCAATATAGGGGTTAATATTACCCACTGATTATAATCACACTCCATTTTTTACCTTTTTATAGACATGATGATTTACAATTTCAGTTACATCCTGTTACGCGAGCTGCTAGGTATATGTTTTTATAATCAGGGATTAATATGATTAAGTTTGTCGCATGTTATTGTCTTGTAAATTGAGACGGAAGAAGAATTCAGCTCTAAACATGTTTCTTTCATAATCTACCGGTGATACAGTTAAAAAATATCCACTTTAAGAACTCGAAGGACTTTGAGGGGCGTTGGGGTAGCCTAGTGGTTAAACCATTTGTTCATCCCTCCATGTGAAAATATTACAGAGCCAGGAATAATGTTTTCTGATGTGTTGTTAATCCATTTGCTGCTTTTTCTAAATACTTTCAAAATCAAAATAGTCATAAAAGTAGTCAGTTCTTCTACTGCTTATTTTTTACATATGGAACAGTTTGACAAGATTACAGATCAGTGATTGAGTAAGAATGCTTCCAACAGTCCTGCCAGGTTGTTCGAAAAAGCCTAATGACGTACAAAAGTCAAATAACAACAAATGTGACTTGTGCAAGTTAAGTAAGGCACTGATATTGATATATGTATCCATTAGGGGTGAAACAGTACAGCAAGGATACGATAAGTATCATGATACATAGGTCATGATAAGATACCTATCGTGACACACATTTTTGCATATTTATAAATATTTCAAAGCAGGTTCAAAAGGTAAAGCTAGCTGTAGACACATGTTCATAGCAGCTATTTTAAGTAGAAACTTGAAACCCTAATTACGACACATTTCTTGATATTTGACTGCCTTAAACATGTTAAACAAGTAGTCAGTAATTTCTTTTAGCAAGTGTATCGTCTTGTATCGATACAGAAAAAAACCATATGAATGTATGATGTATTGTTTCACTCCCAGTATCCATTCATTGTCAACCATAAGGTTAGTTTCAGGTCATCCAAAGCAGTAATGTGATCGTGGTTGAAATTTGCCGTAAATAATATTCAATAAAACCAATTAAAACATAAGCCAGATATACTATGAACACTTTTTTATAACCAGATAGTGTAATAACAGGCTGACCTACATACTTCAGTATGTATTTTTAGATGTCTCCTTTTCAGACTACACTACAATACCCTTTGAGGTTTGTTATTTTATTTATCATGTTTGTTGTTGTTTACATGAAGTATACTGAGAACTTAGTGATGAGAATGTTCTAATGTGTTTTTCTGTACATGTTCATGATTTTTCTTTTAAAGATCATATAAACTGCACATAAATTTATATATTGTTCCTATCAGGTCAGTTTTGAAATTTTAGCCATTTCCCAAATGGTGACCATCATAATCATTGAACATGAGTCAAGGAATCCTTTTCATAACCCTAAATAGTAAGATTTAGGGAGTTCCTGGATTCACAGGTTGGTGGGGTAGCCTACTGGTTAAAGTGTTCACTCATAACCTTGAAGAACCGGGTTTGATTCTCCACATAGGTACAATGTGTGAAGCCCATTTTTGGTGTCACCCAGTTGATATTGTTGGAATATTGCTAAAAGTGGCTTAAAACAATAGTTATTTGATTCAGATAGAATGGGACATGGAACACCTCATGGACCCTGGGTATATGTTTAAGTTTTATAACCTTAATCAATCCAGCCCAAACTAATTATCCTTAATTTCACACAGGGCACTATTTTTATGCAATGTCTGGTAGTCGGTAGACTAGCCTGGAAATGGGCACTGAACATGAAGCCATACCCCTGTTACACTCATTTATAACAGACCTTTTTCATGTACAGATTATTGTAGTGAAAAGTGTGGTCTGTGGGTCTATAATAAAAAAACAAGAATTAAATGTATTGTAGAGGATTTATTTAATCATCTTTGCGTTGATGAAGGTGATTAAAAAATGACCATTTATTGAGGGTAACGGAAATTATGTTTTAATTATAAAAATCCTTTGGATTATTTTTATTATCAAAGCAATATTTACCGTATTTGGTATAAAAAGAACTTGTCCCCAAGGCCTTTCTGATTTGTACATCCTTGTATATGAGCCGCTACACTTCTGATGGGAATTGATGCTGTGCTTCTATTGCCCAGTCCAGTTTTTATCCATGCAACATCTTGAAGTGGTATTTTGGAAACTAGTATCTTTCATCTCTCAATTAAATGTTTCACTATCCTTAAAAACCATACCAAATCCTATAGCAATCTTCATAACCAAAACGATCTGCTGTAATGTCTAATTACTAAAACAAGAAGTGTTATGAAATTGAAAATTTATTTGACATATCTTTGTGTTTACAAAAATGCTTTGGTGTTAACTCATTTGATAAAACAATGTATGTCTTTTGTTTGCACAAAGTATCATGATGCATGTATGACATTATCATGATAAGGTTTTTTTTGTTCTTAAGTGAGGGTTATTGAGTTCAAAAGACCTATGGAGTAATCTCTACTTTTGATCTTGGGATGTATGTACTGTGTACTGATTCACTGCATATAGATGAACATCCAGGGATAATTATCAGTGTTAGAAAAAAACAGTTTTCGTCCACTAGTCCTTATAATGATAACATATAGCAAACCCCTTAAAAGGGCAAATTTCTACTAGTCCTTATGATACCTTTACCATTGGGCAGTTTGGCAAGGACTACAGGACTAGTGCCAATTTCTAACGCTGATTATGTTGTTGGGTGTTTGGGTAGCCTAGTAGTTAAAGTGTCACGGTGAAGACCCGGGTTCAATTCCCCACACATGTACATTGTGTGAAGTTCATTTCTGGTATCCCCTCCTGCCGTGATGTTGCTGGAATATTGCTAAACGTAAAACCATACTCACTCACTAGTGATGTCGAACTGATCATTTTATGTACCTATGCACTGAACATGCTGAAGAGTTAATCACCATTGATTCCTTACTGAATGGCTTTCATTGAAAATCATAATCCAGAGAAAGCATTACCTTACCTTTCCTGGACTCTTGACCCTAAGGGCAGTGACCCATGACACTTTGCATCATTGCCCCTGGAGTGAACCACATCTGTCAGTCAGGGGTGATTTACTAGGTCATAGGTCAGCAATTGCAAGGCTAGATATCAGCAGCTTCACTTAAAGTTGGATGAAGAAGGTTACAGGTGAAAGATTGCTATGTGTGCAGGTAAACTAACTATGCTAACTGAAGAATTTGTTGGATTTCATTTTGATGGTAGCATTGAGAGGCTATGGTATTATAATACAGTGTTTGAAATGTATGAAAGACAAGGGCTCCTTCACAGTTAGGTATCGTGATTCAGATACTGCAGCAAAAAAAGACTGAAGGATCTCAGGACCCCGATAATTTCCATTGATTTGCCTTGGATTCTGAACTTTGTATTCCTAGGAAGGCAATTGGGGAGAAAAAATGTTATTCTGTTCAATATTGGGATTGTTTTGAGTTCTCATTTTCTTCAATCACGAGGTATTTTATTGTATTTTGAGATTACATTCAATGCAGTTGTATAAAACTAAGCTTTAAAACCTTTTCCACTCTATTGATCCTGTTATCAGTGAAGTACAGGTTACATCTGCAAAGACATAAAATTAGTTTGTTACTTGAAATTTATAATTTAATTCCAATTTGAATTTTTTTAGTTACATTTGCTGCTGATTGGGGGTAAAATATCAGCCCCAGAGCAGATCTAGAGCAATCCCTGATTTCTAACATTAATGATTATGCATGCCTCAAACATACAAATAATATGAAGGGAAAGAAATTATCCCTAGTTAGGGAGCTGGTAAATTTCTGTATGTAAGTTGACCTATAAGTTGATCCCCAGATTCAAAACTATGGCAGGGAATCTCAAAGATACGGAACTCTTTAATTTAGAACATTGCTTTACATAATGGAAGCTCTGTTATCCATGAAATTTGTCAGGATTATAAAATTTCATTACGGCAATGAGTACAGTTTATTGACGTTTTGATTTATGATAGTGTTCTGGCAGTAATACACATCCCCTAGTCTGTTAGTCAGACTAGTGAAAATCTAGACAGATTAGTTGTTTTTTCCCAAAATTTCGTCATTGTACATACCCACTGGTCCGAAAAGAGAGTGAGTATGGTTTTACGCTGCTTTTAGCAATATTCC